CATGTAGGTATTAGTAACAATGAGAAAGTGGATATACTAGCAAAAAAGGCTACTGTTTCGGGAACTAATAAAAATATTAAAACTCCAAAATCAGATTTTATTGCTAAATCTAAATTATCAATGTTTTAAACTTGGCAAGATGCATATTCTAAAGAAGAAAAAGGGAAGAAATACAAAAAAATTCAACCTAATATTCCAAAGTGTCCCTGGTTCAAAAACGAAATAAATAGGTCTTTTATCAGAGTTATTTGTCGTATGAGAAGTAATCATGCTATGCATCCTGCCTACAAGGAAACATTTGGTCTATCAGATAATAATTTATGTTTAATTTGTGATGAAATTGCTGATCTTAATCATATAATTTTAGAGTGTGTCCTAAATTCGCTAGATACTGACACAATGTACTTAGAATTAGTTAATATTGGTATACCTCTACCAATAAACATTGATGTTCTGCTTTTATTAAACGATGTTAAAGTTTATAAAATATTGTATGAATTTGTTAAAAAAACTAATACAAGATTTTAAGTAGCTGAGCTACCCTAAAAATAGTGTAAACCTGAAACGAAAAAATAAAATAAATGATAAAACAAAAAAATGAAACCAAGGAAAAAAAAAGAAAAAAAAAAAAAAGAAAAATAATACAAAACAAAAAAAAATAAAAACAAAATAATACAAAAAAAAATAATCAAAAATACATATAATAAAACAATAGATATTTTTTATAATTAATTACAAACTCAGGTATGTTGATAGCTGTAAGTCAAAATATAATAATAATAATAATTATAATAATGTAATCATGTAACAATAGTGGATAAAACAATTAAAGAATTATGGATTACTACAATAGTCTGGCCTTTTGGTTTTATCCAGTGCCATTTAAAAAAAAAAAACGTTTCCTTTATTTGTTAGTGAATCGGTTTTTTTATTCTTTATAATATTGATGTATTTGTCTTTTATTAAAGAGATAAGTTTTCCTCTTTAGAAGAAAAATTTTTCTCCCATTTCGATTTTTGGCTCTCTAGAATAAACAAATGGATTATTAACTAAAATGTATCTATGTATTATGGGTAACGTACCCATTATATTGTTTTTTCAGTTTATACATTTTTATATGGGCTTGTAACTTCACTCTCTTATCTATTTTTTTGCGAATTTATGAAAAACACCACAGAACTAACACATTTTGACAGATCAGTGTTGCCAACTAATTTTGATCTTAGTTCAGTAAAGGTCAATTCTGATCCACGGATCACTTGATCCATTGGTTAACCAATCATGATACAACCCACCCTGAAAGGTTCATGTTCCTACACTAAGCAAGCGCTATACTAACACCCTGTATTCTAAACAGATTTTAAAAATATTTGCCTTGACTGGCTTGACTGCAATATTTATGGGAATCAAAATGGATGCTTTTTTTTATTTTAAACATCTTTATAAAAGTAAATTATTTTTATCATTTTTGGAGCGTCAATTATACTTGTAACCAAAAAGAAAAAAATTCAATATGTTGATTTTTTAACGATTTTCTTATTTTTATTAGGAAGAAACTAAATCAAACTTCTGAAAAGTGGCTCCAGGGGAAAAAATATGCAACTTTTATCTACAGGTACGAATTTTTTCTTTCGCTAAAAATAAAAAATAAATCAATTAAAGTGAGGTACTATCAAAAATTAATTTTCCTCTTAAGGGAAAAATGGACCTCTTGCGAAAGCAAAAAGATTTGAGGATTTTCTAATATAAAATTTTATATGTGTGCCACTCGAATTACTTCGCGATATTATGTGTCTCGAGAATATTGAGAAACTGCTAAATATTTATTAAAAAAGGAGCAGACTTTCATAGATTTAATTTAATTCCTTTTAAAAGTGAACAAAATAAATACTTTTGAGGGTTTACAAAAACTCTGTACCCTAAGTTTTGTTATTATTGGTATTTCCTGAAAATTTCACAAAATCGAACTAAAAATAAAGGTTCGGAAGGAATAATTGAAGGATCCAATGCATAAACCAGCCGAGTCTTTTTTGACAAAATGTTCAGGAGAGATAAAAAATGTTTCAAGGACAAAATATTTAATAACGTTTTTGGTCATTATTTCATTCTATGCAAAAGCGCCCATTAAACATGAAACATTACCAGTCTTTTTTGTAACGTTTCTCATAGAGACTTTTCTTGATATATTTTTAAAACGGTACTAAAATATCTCACAGATGTTTATATTTTAACATCATAATTATTAACATTTATGGCATATATCTACAAATGAAGTTTTATGTACGCTGGAATTCTTGAATTAGCAGCTACATAAACAGCTTTTGTACTTCTTCTTAGTTACTTCCTGTGACAAATATTTATACGATGTTAATAATAGTAATGTGTACAAGTTTCACATCTTTAGTATTTACATCGCAGACCTAACAGTTCTTCCCGCCTTCATAAATGGAGATAACAATAATCGCTTACTACTTACGTAACTGGTAGGTTTTGTATTATGGAGCAGTCTGTTTCCCGGTACTAAGTATTTCATTAAAGTTCTTACTTTTTCCTTCGATATTAATTTAGACCATTGTATTATCATACTTTTTTTGTAAAATTTCCTGGAATTAGAAGTTTGACTTCTTTGTATCTCTGTATCTGTAACGTGTGGAGGGTGGGTTACCCCCACGGCACTTAGGTTTCTTTAGACCCAATGCGCATCCTCCTGAGATGATAGGCACCTCCTAGCTTGTGAGCCAGCCTACAGATTTAATGTAGTTGACAACGTCGCCAAGAGGTGCTTCTCTTATATCGGCCGGTGTTAGCCGATACTCGTCGAACACAAATCTTCTAATAAATGAGAGTGTATAGCAATCGTAAAGGATATGCTCGATGGTCTCATCTTCTTGTTCGCACTCTCTGCAGAGTGCGGATTCTGACAGCCCTATGACATGGAGATACTTTCGTACTTGGCAATGACCACTCATAATGCCTGTGACTAGGTACAGATTTTGTCTAGTCATAGTCAAGTATTTGTTTGCTGCAGTGTTGTCAGGATAACTTAAGAGCTCCCTGGTAACTCTGCAGTTTCTTGTTTCATCCCTCCCATCTTTCCTTGAATTTCACAAGGGAATGTTCTTTGATTAGGTCTGTCACTACCAATTTTTTCAAGCCAATAGAAGGGCCAGGTCCAAAAAGTACTTGGTTGGCTGCTCTCTTGGCTAATGAATCAGCAAGACGGTTACCTTTCGATGTGGCGTGACCTCTGATCCATCTTAAGGTGACCACATTGTTGATGGATACTTCGGCCAAAGCTTCGTGGCATTCTAGTACTAACTAAATTCGTGGTCTGTTCAGGGTTAGTAGTACTTGTCTGCTATCTGTATAGATGAGCATGTTCCTTCCAATGATATTGTTTATGGTTATTTCTTTTTCTGCTATGAGAATCCCCGTTAGCTGTTTGAACTACACTGGCACCATTGCTCACAGCTCATTTTATGTTTAGGTTTAAGAATCTGTAGTATATTCTACATCCTGAGCCTTGTTTTGTTTTAGAACAGTCGGTATAGATGGTATCTGAACTTTATATGGCTTATGGAAGATATATCTCGATGAGATAGAGTCCATGTTCGCTTGAAGCAGTGGGGGCGTATCGAGCGCCTTCTGCCAAAAGCAACGGCTAGCCTCACCATAGCCTACATCAGGTTCTAGAAGTTTAACTTGTCTTCTAACCTTTTAACTTCAAGTTAGAAGACATTATTTCTATTCTGTTTTATATAAATGAAATATATAAAATATGTACATAAAATAGTCCATATAAAATTTAAAAGACAAAGATAAAAATAAAAAGGTATGGTCTGTATCATATTTGGAACGTCACATTTGGTTCATTAATATTCATTAATGATTCTAAATTATGGGCTTTATAATAACATCTACAAGAACTAAAAAGACTTTCTTGGATATAAAAGGAATATCACATCTTGTTTGGTAAAAAGACATCATTTTCGGGAACTTCCAGTAACGTTTAATAACGTAGATTAGATTAGATTTAATTAGGACTATGGGCCATGTGGCCTCCCCCACCTCGACCTTTTCAGATCTATTGTGGATATCCTTTAATCATTGTTTAGAGTACCTTGTCTAATTCGGTCTTTTGTAGTAGACTCCATAGACTGGGAAGTAGTTCTCCGGTATAGCTAGTTGCCCTTGGTTTTTCTTCTCCAAGTGTAAGGAATCTCAGTCTTACTAGACCTTCGCAGTAGCACAATACGTGTTCTGCCGTTTTCTCTTCTTCTTGACAGAATCGGCACAAGGCCTCTTCTGTTAGACCGATATTGAACATATGTTTGTTAAGCCTATAATGCCCTGTTAATAGACCTACTAGTATTCTAGTATTTTTCCTATTAAGGCTTAGTAGATGCTCGGTGAGTTTAGACGATGGTCCTTTTAAGAACTTTTTGTCCTGGTGAGTTTTTCCACCACTTCTGAAATTTTTTAAACATCCACTGCTTTGTGCATGTTAATAACGTAACAAGTTAGCACTATAATATAACTGGAACGTCTACATTGTAAACACAAAAGTAAACGTCTCTACTCTGGGCTTAGATAGTTATGAGTCCGTCCTATAGATGAAAACAAGAGTAAAACTGAGAGTTACAATGTAACAATGTGATGTAAAGTTTTCATTAATTTAACGTTTTTATGCATAGTGGGCGTCTTAATTTTTTGTTTGATGGCCTTTGTCAAAGTATCACATCAATGCATGTGCATAAACCACTGCTAGATAATACAGATCAGTGGCATAAACCCGTCAAGTCCCAGTATCAAAATGTACTCACAGTAGGCATAGTTATCAAGCTAGACAAGCCGTTTGTGCACGGGATGATTCAAAATTTAAAACTGTGCAAGAACATAATAAATAATTTTTGCAAAAAAATGGTCTTGAACGTTTTATGCCTGGATCAATCAATTAGAAGGTATTCGGTTTGTTTTTAAGATCGTTTATAATATATAACCTTGGAGGCATTCTCAATGTAAGTCACAGAAGCAATAAATGCTTCAATACTTTTGAAATCCAGTTTGACACCTTTGACAGTTTTTTCAGTATTGTTTGCATTCAAATTCGATTCATCCACTTGCTTTAAAAAATCTTCAAGTGATAGATCAGAAGTTTTTGCTGGTGGATGTGTCATTATGGGAATTTCAGCATCTGAATTGGTAATTTTTCCGATTGAAATATCTGCTTCTATCATCATTACATTGTCTAAAAAAATATAATTTAATAATAAAGGCAGTTTCCTAAAGCATTATTTTTTATTATCGAAATTAACGTGTCTTGGCCTCAGGGGCCATTGACACAGGTACAATTTATATTATAATATTACAAGGGTTTTTAGTAAATACATACACTATAGATATAATAAAATATTTTTTTAGGTGTTTTGAAATCAAAAACAAACAAAAATTACAGAAGAAAACCCTAATTCACAAAACTATAGGATTGAGGGTAAATGAAACTAAAAATTAAACAGTTTTCTATATTGACTAGAATATTTAAGAATACTAATGCTATCACTCAAACCATTCTTAGTCAGTTGAGTTTTAAAGTAAACGCAATTTTCCGCTAATAAATGTTTGACCTGTTACAGTACAAAAAGATTGGGCTCCAATTCGCAATCTTCTAATGATGGTGTTTTCTTTCTTTGACAGAGAAGGCATTTCGAAATGGTGCAGAGTTGGCTGAATTTCCCGAAGTTTCAAACTAGTAATATTCTGCCAATGATAATCCCACTGATTATGGACCTTTTGGCGGAATGCAGTTTTTAGGTCTTTAACTATTTGGATATTTTCTGGTGGTAGCTTCCTCATTGCCTGCAATCCCGACATGAGAGGGAACCCAAATAAGAAAAATGGAAGCTTCTACTGAAGAAGTGATTAATAATAATCGTGTATTTCTTGAACCAAGGGATGTTGAGTATAAATATTTTTAATAGAGTAAATTGAAGAGAGGGAGTCTGTACATATAGCGACGTAGATATCCTCTAGAGTTAACGATTTAAAAGCCTGGAGTATCCCCTAAAGTTCCCCAATATGAATATTGCATGAAAAAGTATTACTGGAATCCATCATTTGAGGTGATAGAACAACCTACATCGTATTGATTTTTAGAAGCATCCGTAAATATAATTCTTTTAAATTTGTTGTTATAGGTTCTGTAAATGATTCCCTAAAGATTTCTTTTGGAGTGTTACTTTTATTGACTTGACTAAGCGAGGTTTTAACTTTTGGTAATTTTTTTTTAGCCAGACAGGACTTTTAGAAATGGGAAAATGCATGGTTCGAGTAAGATCAATATCACCGAGTAAGGATTTTATAGCCTAAGGAATTGGGAAAATACCTCTAGTCAGAAGATATACGGCGCCAAAGCTATAAGGGAACAAAAGCAGGTAAGTCACTTGAGACGGGAAAAGAAGCAGGCTAGTCAACAAATTCACAACTCTGATTTCGCTCGTTCTGCCAACGCATCAGTGCATTGCTAGATTTTGTAAGGGTCGCATCGTATTGTTTACGTTTAAGAATTGTGGATTAACTTGAGTGTCTCGTATCAAGCTTTGTTTGGGAATAATTATATCACGATGTCAAGCTCGGACGAAGGTATTAAGCTACATAGTGAGCCAAAAAAAAAGGAAGAAAACAGGTCGAATCTCTGAGGTAAATAAAAAAATTAAAACTTTCCACGCATGAAGCTGGTGACCCTTGCCATTGCAAACGATTTAAATGTTACAATATAACTACTGAAAATAATAGAAAAAGCATATTAGGCTACTTTAACCAGCTACAGTCTCACAACGAGCAAAACATGTACTTGACAGGATTAATCACCGTTATGCCTGTGGTACAGAGAAGACCTCGAAATGTTGAAGAAGTGGCAAAGTTACGGGAAGCTAGTTTTGCCTACAGAGTTCGAGTTACTAAAGACAACGGAGACGTGGTAGATATTAGTGTATGTGCAAAAGCATTTTGCTCATTTCATGGCATTAGTAAAAATAAACTTTACTATCTACAGCAAAATTTAAAATCGACGGGCTCTGCACCTATGGATAAAAGGAGTAAGCATTCCAAGAAACACAGGCAGCTCAATGAGGCTACTGCTGCTTTAATTGCCAGTCATATCAAAAGTTTCAAAGGTCGCCAGAGTCATTACAGTCTTAAAGACTCAACCAAAACTTATTTGCCAGAAAGCCTTAACATAAAGACAATGTACAAACTATTCAAAGAACTACATCCTGCAGCAGTTGTGTCTTACGACACTTACAGGCAAATGTTCAACACGCAGTTCAATATTTCTTTTGGATATCCGCGTACGGATACTTGTGCAGTGTGCGATGAATATACGGCAAAGGTTAAAGCTTTATCTGTGGAAAGAGATGAACAACAGATTCATCAGCTAACAGCAATGAATATCCTTCATAAAAAAAGGGCAGAAACTTTTTACAACCTCAAAAAAAAATCCAAAATCGGAGCAAGAAAAAAATAAGAAGAAAGAAGCCATATGCATAGATTTTGCAAAAAATATCTCCTTGCCGAATATAGCTACTAACGACGTATACTACAAACGGCAGCTCGCTATGTATTCCTTTAATGTTCACGTTCTTTCAACTAGTGAATCCATTTTTTTACGTGTATCACGAAGGTATTGCTAAAAAAGGGCCGAATGAAGTGGCCTCATTTCTATTCCATTTCATCATGAATTATTTGGACGATGAAGTACAGGAACTGAAAATTTTCTGCGATTCTGCAGGGGGGCAGAATAAAAACTACACGATATTTAAATTCATTCATTACATAACGAACAATAAAATTCATGGCCTTACGGATATCAAAATTACGTTTCCTATTCGTGGGCACTCATATTTGGAGTGCGACAAAAACGTTGGTTTATGGAACTTAAAAACATTGATGGAAATACCTAAGGATTTCGAAGAAATTATCACGGACGAAACCATCGTCTTTTACTGTTGTCAGCGTTTCCCAAAAAATTATACTGGATTGGAAGAAAATGTTGCCATCAAAGTACATAGCTAAATGCCCTTTTAGAACGCAGCCTATTAAAATAATAAATTCTTCAACCAGTCATAGTTGCTTGCTAGAATATCGCACGACGTACAATGGACCTAGGCTGACTGGCATTATAAGGTCACCCCGGCAATGTCAGCAATCATTGGAAGATGGATTGTTTGAACTTCCCCCTCCAGCTTACAACGGTATGTACTAATAACAAAACCACCTTCACTGAATTAATACAGTGAGTTTTCTAACGAATGCCTTATTCTTTTCAGGTCTCCTGCCAATTTCCAGTGCAAAATTCAAAGATCTGCAAAGCCTAATGAAGTTTTGTGCCCCCACTACTGTGGAATTTTTTCGTCAATTACCTCATGATTAAGTAATTGTAAGTTAAAAAATATTATTTGTAATGTAAACATATTGTGGCGATCACCATAATAACATTTTGCTAGACTTCTCTGTACTTATTAATTATGCGTGTTATTTTCAGGTTGGAAACGTTCATGGTTTTTGGGACACTGCAGCGATCTGGCAACACCCTGTGTGTTTTTCAGCTTTTTTTTACTTTACTAGAATACAATGGTTTAGTTATTTGCATCAATAAGTCTTATATTAGTACTTATACGAATTCTGTATCGTTTTGGACATTAAAAATGTGTTTTCTCAGTTTCGACAACAATAGACTTACCTGCTTTTTTCCCCTGACCCTTCATATGCATTGAACATTATCCAATCGGCATAAGTAAGTTTTCATTATTTAATACTTTTAGTGGGTTTATTTGTATTATTGAGAGAGACTTTTATTGGAAAGTGGTTGTTATTATAGAGACAAGCTACTACGTGCCAATAAAGTGTGAAAGCTGCTTTAGGATCACAGAGATTTAAGTCAATAGACGCTACAGATGGTTAATTTATAGCGTTTTCAATTCTACTGCCCTGCCCGTGGGGAGTGCACATAAAAGATAAGCAATATATTGATATCCGTTATTTTTTAGAGTGAAAAGTAACTGGTATCGACATATCTCCCATCTTTCGTATGCTCTCAGAGCAAGCCGAGCAGTGGAATCCAATACGCTATTAGAAAGCCACCAAACGGTAACTGCTATAGCTTCTAGATTAAAATAAAAATGGAGGTTCCGCCGCTAGCTCGATTAAATACAGGTCTGAGAAAATGGCAACCCTCGTAATTTTAAAAATGTGTGCGAATGTGCATGTAGTGTGGCAGACATTTTCCGCTATACTTTTAAAATTTATATGTATAATAATAATAATGTGGCCTAAGTACCTTACAGATAGATATATAATAAATGGTAGGTCATAAATTATACCAGATATTCTGCTGTAAAAAGTTTTCTCGACACAGAGAAAACGATTCATACTTGTGATGCAGAGATAACAGGCGATATAGCTATTCATTTATAAAATATAATATTTGTGTCCCATCTATACCACAGTCGATCAGGTCTAGTTATAAATCTGTAGTAAAGAGACATGTGGTGAGAGGTACGGAAAGGGATAAACAAAGAATATATGTGTAAGCCATTGTACGCCAATAATAAACAACGTACACAATGCCAAGCCCTGTTGCCACATCTAGTATAAAATTCTTGATAACATTAACTAGGTTTTGAAATTTATTGAAAATTATTACATCTAATTTAATGAAATTACATATAATTTAATTAAATTTGATATAACTAATGATTCAAAATATTTTGGGTTCAGTTGCAATAAAGTAGGTTGAATTATTTTAGCTTTTTTAATATATGTTTAAGATATAAGATATATTTGTTTGTAGTTACATCTCCTATTTTCTCTGTTGTGGTGCCTTTGATCCTGAAATTAAATTTTCGTGCAAAATCCTTTATATTTACTATTTTTTATTTGTCAATTTTGTCCAATTACCATTAATAGTTGAATTTTGGCTATTTGTGTGAACTAATAGACTAACTACTAAACGAAAATCTACACGTTCTTTTTTTTACAACCTTTTCATTAACTTGCAACTGAATTTTAAAACAGTTGTCCTCAACCGATTAAGCTGAATTTTCGCATGCATGTTTAGTTTGGATGACAATGCATCGTTAGCTAAGTGACGTCATTCTAATCCAATATGGTGGAATCCTAAAGATGTCGGACTAGTTATTTGTTATGTACTCCTATAATATGGGTAACAAATGAAAGGGTTTGCTGAGAAAAATACTAAAAAAACTGATGTCACATTAGATTCAATATGGTGGACACCCCAAGCTGGCGGACAAAATATTCATATTTACCATCATGATACATGGAAATCAAATGAAAGGGTCCACTGGGAAGAATACGAAAATAAAATGACGTCACTCTAAAATCAATATGGCCGACTCATATATCTTTCACCACGACATGGCAACTGCCCTCAGGGTTAGATTTTTAATCTTTTTAGGGCATTTAAATAAAAGCTTGTTTTAAAAATGTTTTTGTACTATTAATTTATTAATACCTTTTTACTCGAAATTATCCAATACATACCGTCTGCTAGAACCGATTTTAAATAAGATTGATTATTCACAGCATGAGCCCAAGTTACTAGAGTTAAATTTCCTTGGATTTGAGGAAAAAATTGAGTTATATTTGTTGTAGACATAGTTTTTGTTGTAAAATATACTGAAACAAAGAAATATTTATGGTTACTTATACATATAGGGTGGGTCACCGGTAACGCCTCGGTCTGTAGAGTCAACCCTATTTGTTTTTTAAAATCCGTTTTCACAGTATATCAAAAAGGCAACAATTTAAAAATAATTTCAATCATGCATAGTTCTCCAAGAAAGCAATACATACCAAAGTTAGGTTTTTTTTTAAATGGGACAACCTGTATTTTATTTTTTATTTGAATTTCCCTTGCTTTTCTCATTATAACAGTACCAAACAGCATAATATTATGCAGGGTATTTTCCAAGCTATAACACACAGTTTTATATGAAAATCGTTATATAGATTGGCCCCACAGACCGAGGCGTTACCCACTCTGTATACTACATTGCGATAAAGAAGTAAGCAATAATATTGATATGGACTTAAAAAAAATCCAAGATCAATTTAATTTATTTTTATAATTCGCACTGTTTAACATAATATTCGAATACACAAGGTGATGTATGTAAATAATAATAAAAATGAGTTTCCCGGCCTTTAAAATAAAAAATAACATTTAAAATTAACATTAACATTAACATTAACATTAACATTAACATTAACATTAACATTAACATTAACATTAACATTAACATTAACATTAACATTAACATTAACATTAACATTAACATTAACATTAACATTAACATTAACATTAACATTAACATTAACATTAACATTAACATTAACATTAACATTAACATTAACATTAACATTAACATTAACATTAACATTAACATTAACATTAACATTAACATTAACATTAACATTAACATTAACATTAACATTAACATTAACATTAACATTAACATTAACATTAACATTAACATTAACATTAACATTAACATTAACATTAACATTAACATTAACATTAACATTAACATTAACATTAACATTAACATTAACATTAACATTAACATTAACATTAACATTAACATTAACATTAACATTAACATTAACATTAACATTAACATTAACATTAACATTAACATTAACATTAACATTAACATTAACATTAACATTAACATTAACATTAACATTAACATTAACATTAACATTAACATTAACATTAACATTAACATTAACATTAACATTAACATTAACATTAACATTAACATTAACATTAACATTAACATTAACATTAACATTAACATTAACATTAACATTAACATTAACATTAACATTAACATTAACATTAACATTAACATTAACATTAACATTAACATTAACATTAACATTAACATTAACATTAACATTAACATTAACATTAACATTAACATTAACATTAACATTAACATTAACATTAACATTAACATTAACATTAACATTAACATTAACATTAACATTAACATTAACATTAACATTAACATTAACATTAACATTAACATTAACATTAACATTAACATTAACATTAACATTAACATTAACATTAACATTAACATTAACATTAACATTAACATTAACATTAACATTAACATTAACATTAACATTAACATTAACATTAACATTAACATTAACATTAACATTAACATTAACATTAACATTAACATTAACATTAACATTAACATTAACATTAACATTAACATTAACATTAACATTAACATTAACATTAACATTAACATTAACATTAACATTAACATTAACATTAACATTAACATTAACATTAACATTAACATTAACATTAACATTAACATTAACATTAACATTAACATTAACATTAACATTAACATTAACATTAACATTAACATTAACATTAACATTAACATTAACATTAACATTAACATTAACATTAACATTAACATTAACATTAACATTAACATTAACATTAACATTAACATTAACATTAACATTAACATTAACATTAACATTAACATTAACATTAACATTAACATTAACATTAACATTAACATTAACATTAACATTAACATTAACATTAACATTAACATTAACATTAACATTAACATTAACATTAACATTAACATTAACATTAACATTAACATTAACATTAACATTAACATTAACATTAACATTAACATTAACATTAACATTAACATTAACATTAACATTAACATTAACATTAACATTAACATTAACATTAACATTAACATTAACATTAACATTAACATTAACATTAACATTAACATTAACATTAACATTAACATTAACATTAACATTAACATTAACATTAACATTAACATTAACATTAACATTAACATTAACATTAACATTAACATTAACATTAACATTAACATTAACATTAACATTAACATTAACATTAACATTAACATTAACATTAACATTAACATTAACATTAACATTAACATTAACATTAACATTAACATTAACATTAACATTAACATTAACATTAACATTAACATTAACATTAACATTAACATTAACATTAACATTAACATTAACATTAACATTAACATTAACATTAACATTAACATTAACATTAACATTAACATTAACATTAACATTAACATTAACATTAACATTAACATTAACATTAACATTAACATTAACATTAACATTAACATTAACATTAACATTAACATTAACATTAACATTAACATTAACATTAACATTAACATTAACATTAACATTAACATTAACATTAACATTAACATTAACATTAACATTAACATTAACATTAACATTAACATTAACATTAACATTAACATTAACATTAACATTAACATTAACATTAACATTAACATTAACATTAACATTAACATTAACATTAACATTAACATTAACATTAACATTAACATTAACATTAACATTAACATTAACATTAACATTAACATTAACATTAACATTAACATTAACATTAACATTAACATTAACATTAACATTAACATTAACATTAACATTAACATTAACATTAACATTAACATTAACATTAACATTAACATTAACATTAACATTAACATTAACATTAACATTAACATTAACATTAACATTAACATTAACATTAACATTAACATTAACATTAACATTAACATTAACATTAACATTAACATTAACATTAACATTAACATTAACATTAACATTAACATTAACATTAACATTAACATTAACATTAACATTAACATTAACATTAACATTAACATTAACATTAACATTAACATTAACATTAACATTAACATTAACATTAACATTAACATTAACATTAACATTAACATTAACATTAACATTAACATTAACATTAACATTAACATTTACATTAACATTAACATTTTTAGTAGTACCTAGTTACAAATCCCTTGAAAATGTGTTTGAGGTGTCGGAAAATTTTCCGTATAGGTCTTATTGCGTTGACGAAATTCGTAACATACAAAAAGTGCTTAGTTCTTTTTATTATTTATACTTTACGTTTTAAAGGTCTATTTTTTAAATCCTGCATTTTTCATAAATATTATCTGTATCAAGATTATGGAAGAAGCAAAATGTCTTTGGATGTTATGACATTTATGACCTAACTATTAATCTCCTGGTAAAGTTAATGTTAGTAATCGGCGGGATAAATTTTAACCTCATGTAATGTTACAATTTTAACCCACTGATACTTAACAATAAATGATGTACAACATGACAACGTTGGTTATTTATTATCGAATAAATGTCAAACTGCTGTGTTTTTAGATAGTAAAAACTACGGCGAATGACAATTATTAGTAGGTGTTTCAACTTCCTTCAAATCCCAAATAAAAACAAAAGGCGATATGACACCAAACACAAGGTAGTTCCAAAAAAATCCACCAGAGGTCGTTAGAAGGTGAGGTACCCGTTTGACCATTATAAGAGCTAGATAAAGTGTGTTTTAACATCAACAAGAAAGAGACCAGAATCGGACCTTGTGTACCAGTAACTTCCATAATTCGTCAGACAACAACTTCTGATAATTCCAACGATTAAATGGAGCAAATGATTGCAGTTGCTGGTCAATCTCTAAATCAATTGGAGACAAAGAAAATAAACGAATTTCTTCGACAATATCGTTACATTTGTGTACCAAAAGGAGAAATAACAGGAAGAACTTCTGTTGTAAAACGTAAAATTGACACTGGTGATGCCAGGCCGACTCGTCAATTAGCTCAAAGATTACCAAAGGCCAAGAGAGAGGAAGCTGAAAGGATTGTTTAGGAAATGAAGGAAGACAGGGTGATAGAACCTTTTACCAGCCCATGGGTCTTATCGGTAGTCCTGGTTCTGAAAAAGGATGGAACTATGAGGTTCTCTGTGTGGATTACCGTCAGTTGAACAATGTTACCAAGAAAGACAGTTACCGTCTGTCTCGAATCGACGATACCATATATACATTGGCCGGAAGTAAACTATTATCTACCCTAGATTTGAAGTCTTGATACCGGCAGGTGAAAATGGTCCCAGTAGATAAAGAAAAGACAGCTTTTACCACTGGATCTGGATTGTGGCAATTCAATGTTATGCCATTAGGACTATGTAATGCCCCCGTGGCCCCCGTGACATTTGAAAGACTTATGGAAAACGTATTGAGAGGGTTATCCTGTAAAACATGCCTGGTGTATTTAGACGATATCATAGACTTGGGGAAGACCTTTGATGAACATCTAAAGAATTTAGAAGATATTTTTAAGACTCAAAGCTGCCCAATTGATGCTAAACCTCAAGTAATGCCAATTATTTCAAAATAAAGTTAATTATCTGGATCATATAATCAGCAAGGATGGCGTCGCTGTATATAAGGAAAAACTCGCTATCAAAGCGTGGCCACAACCAATTGATAAACATCAAATAAGTTTTCTTGGGCTATGTACGTACTATCGAAGATTTATCAGGAAGTTTGCAGATATTGCTAAGCCATTAACACGACTCACAGAAGAAGCGAGAGAATTCTGTTGGGAAGAAGACTGCCAAACTGCATTTGAAACACTAAAGAGACATTTGATAACAGCGCCAATATTAGGCTATCCATCACCAGAGGG